CATGATATTATTAAAACATGCTGAAATCAACAACTCTCACAGCTCTATCATGGCATTTTGTTCTTCATTGGTATTTACATTATTATAGTTCTTACGTATTGCCCTGGAAATCAGCTTTGAAGTGGAATGATGAATAAATGAAGATTTATTATTATTATCCTTATTAGAGGGATTTTAAAGTCATTAGAGACCAACAAGACATAATAATCATATTATATTCAATCTTCTCTAGAACATCTCCTTTGATAGGCCTGCTAACTCAATTATTTAAATATATATTACAGCAAAATGCAGCATGCCTTCTACAGTTTGGGATAAGACGGAAATTTTTATGCTTTGTTTTCAGTTAACCAGAATTTGTTCTTACAGAATTCATGGGTTTCATGGTGGGTTTCTCAGTTTTAAGCACTAGAGTTTCAAATTTACAGTGAACACCTGGCTCAATGTGTCTGCTCAACTGAAAAAAAAGTTAAAAGCTGAGGAGAAAATAAGGCACTGGAGCACAGTCTTAACCTGCAGTGATTTTTAAAAGTAGTAAAAAAAAAAAAAACAGCCCTCACAGAAGCAATGATCTCTCGAGTAGTCAATAGACTGGGCTTCAACCAACCTCACCAGGGAAAGAAGGAAAAAGCATCTAGAGGCTCTGAGGAAGAACAGAAGCAGAACTGCACCACTCTGAGCTGTTCAGAAGATAGTCTCTGGATTCAAAGTGACATCTGTAGCTGAGCAAACACTACTGGTTAGAAGAAAAAAATCCAAACACTGTATACCTGGAAATTATCTCCTTTTACTCTAAAGAAGGGTGGATAAACCCTTAGACAAACATCAGAATCCCTGAAGAAAGTTTTGGAGACGGTCTTCTAGACGGGCCACCTTCTGAGGGCTTGGAGGGAGAACTACAAAACAAGTATAAGGCTTGTGGCATGCAAGTTGAGTGACAACAAAAAGGCAGAGGGAAAAGCTGCAGCCATGCTGGCACTTGTAACTCTTGCATGGCTTCTTTGCCTGCTTCTCCTCTGAAAGACAGAGGGAAAAGTGCTGAAGGGCTAGAAGTGTGTTCATCAAAGTTGACAATGCGATAATGATGCTGTTCTGGCAACTTCTGCAACATGAACAGAGAATGGTTAACCAAGACACAGAGCAAAATGTACAGGAATTATTTAGGTCCTTTCCATCCTTCCTCTACTCATCAAGTCCTGTACTGTGAGCTTACCCCAAATGAGAAGCTTGGAGACACCACTGTTTATTCAGTTCCGAGACCACCTCGGTTCAGACAACTATTTCCCGGCCCCCACTACATGTACAGCAAGCCTCTTTCATAGCAAGAGCCCATGTTTAACAACAACCAGACAGGTGGTCTCTCCTTCCCCCAGCAAACACACTCCTTACAGTTACATGTCCTTCCCATCACTTACAAGAGTGAACCTTATAACCCCAGGCTGTGATTAACCCCTCTCCTTCTCTGCCCTCTGAAACTTCCACCATTATTCAACCTCGCTGGCAGAGACGGTATAAGAGTAGCCACAGGGTTTATATCACTGTAGGCTGGCACTGACAGTTCTTATTGCCCAGCTGGAAAACAAGTGCAATGGTATTGATGACCATCTAGTTCACTCCTTAGTAGCTCCACTCGCTACTTGTGGAGCTGCAGCTATAGCAGCGGAGCAAAGTGGGAAAGCTCTTAGGCACCAAAGGCAGAGCTCACAGAAAAATCACATGAACGACTGCCTTGCTGCCAGTGCACTTATTTGTGGAAAAAGAGAGTGGTATGTGGGAAAGCGAAGGTTTTTCAGCTATGTGGCTAATGCTTACAACCACGCACTACAAAAATCCCTAAGTGGCAAAAACCCCCAGCAGCCTAAGGCACAGGTAAGAGCAAAACTGGCTAGAACCTAATAAAAGTAATTTCATACCTCTCCTCACTCAAAATGACCTAATTTAATGCAAAAGCAAGATGGAAAGTACAGTCCTGGCAACCTGTCTGGGGATGATGTTCAAGGAAGAAACAAGAGTACCATTTTCATCTCAGGTGTTAGCCAAACAGCGAGGGGCAATATAGTGTACGCCATGACTTCGAGATCACACCAGCTGCCCAGCGAAGGCAACACCAGCACTGAGGTATTTCCCTTTAGTTCTGTCATTGCTGTTACAAGCCCTTCAGGATTTCTTCCACTTGTGAAACATCTGAGGCAATCCAGGCTACTACAACTATGAAGCTCCTACCTGCTAGTTTTATATAGGCGCTTTATATCAGATTAGCCCCCAGATGCGAACACTGCAAGTGTTCATCACCTATGAACATCATTTATGGATATTAATATCCTCAGGATGTTAGCAATGCTATCACTACGTCAACCACCTTCCAACCCCACTTGTCATCTCTGTTTCTTTTACTTTGCTTCCTTCTTCCCCCAAACCTCTTACTGATTGCCTCTAATTCCCTTCCCACTACCTTCTTGTTCTTCATGAACCACCTGATTTCCCTGCCACTCACCTCCGTCTTACTCTGCCTAGTCACTCTGCAGTTAATTTCTGATCCTTACAGGCTGCAGAGACACTTTGCTCTCAGCCACTGGCTGGATGAGACTCCTCTGTTCCTTCCCAGAAATAAGGAAGGAAACATTCAGCAGTTCTTGGCACCTGGAACTGGACAGGCAAATGCACGATGGAAGTGCTGCAGTGCTTTTTAACCTTTGTTGACTCTGTGGATTCTCCTGTATCTCTGGAAACTTATTCTGCCAAGATTTGTCATCCTAGCTGAGATTGTTTGTTCAAATCTAGCACAACTACACTCTCCTTGCAGGGAGCTGATGATGACAGCCCTCTGATATGGCACTGCCTTCCTCCTTGACAATTTAGGGAATAACTCTGCAGAATATGTTACATGGAGTTAATTTGGGACTAACAGCATGAAAGTTTAATAGAAAATGAAGTGGGCAAAATACTCTGAGCTTTCAGATCTAACTCATAACAATGCAATTGCCACTACAATTTCCAATATGGAAGAAGGGGGAGCAGGAACAGTATTTAGTCTGCTATGAAAGAGCTCTAGGCATTTGGCAAATCCAGAAGACTATTAAGAAGGACAATATATATAATGTTAGGGTGTAATTTTCTTGCCTCTCTTTTTTATATTTAAAAATTGTATTCAGAAACTATGCACAGCGCTGTACACATGAAGGATGCAGCTTCCTGCTTCTGGACACCTAGGCATCTTGTTGATCATCTGTAAATCCCAAAACCCAGGTACACTCCAGCTCACCTTTCTCATACACCCAAGTCCTGATCTGGAGGTTGTCCCTCAGAAGCAAGGGAAAAACATGGCTTTTGTATTCATTCTGGTTACCATTCAACAAACCGCTTAAGTCACAGACTCCAACTCTTTGCTAAAAAAGGATCAGTCATTGAACTGGATCTTTAGCAACGACAAACTGCATACCTAAAGTGTGTGCCAAAAAATGGTTAACAGCAGGTAGCGTTCCTGAAATTGATAGGTTTCTGAATTGATAGGTCTGAAATTGATAGGGAACGATGAACAGCCCTCAAATGATCCCAGATTAGCTAAATGATACTGTTGACACCGGTCCAGCTCTATAAAGTGGGAGCCCCTTAAAAGCCCTTCAGTCTTCTTGATTCTTTTGCCTCCAGAAGTTACTTTAGGTTTCTCGTCATTAAAGTTACGATCTTTGGCCCACAGCATGCAGTAAAACAAAACAAAACAAAAAAACAGCTGAGAGATATATTGGCAAAAATTGCTCCCTCACTAAATATTAGCTAAAATATAAACTCAAATTCCTCTGAGAAACTAATAGAGCTTTTTATTTGTGACAGCACTTAAAGCGTGTTTTAAATAACAGCAACATACTGACTCACAATTCCAAACCCAGCATCTCTCTGGTTAGTGAAGGAGTACACACAGGAAAATAACCCATTATTTAGGCCTGAAGTTTGCTGAACAACTACTTTCTCTTCAGCTTACGCCTCTAGGTGTTCTCACTATGAGATCCACTGTGGGGGACAAGCTAGCCCCCAGAAAGGTTGAAAAAGCGAAATATCATTGCTTTTGAAATGAAAGGGCGATATTTTTTTGCTGCTAGGTGCGTCATTCCCACTTCTACACAAACAACTGCTATAAAAACCACCAGCGAAGAGAAGTTTGGCATACTCAGTAGCAATGCACCTATTTTAAGAATAACAGTACCAAGTTAGCTTATTCACAGCAGACTTAACTTTTAGATAGGTATCTGAGCAGATAAATTTAATTTCTGAACAGTCTTCCAGATAACTCCTAATATTTTAAAAACTGAATTATGATTTAGACAATTATCTAAAAAAACCACTTAACATATACTAACAGAATCTGGGGGAAAAAAATCATGAAGCTGATCATGCATTTTATCTCATATCAGTTTACCTTTCCTGGTGCACAAGTGTCTGTGACAAGACCTGGATCACAGACCAGTCTTCCCAAACAGTGAAACAAATGTTTTCATCCCACCTGCAGAGCTTCCCAGTACCACCGATTCCCTCACAGAAGTTTATTTCTAGTTTCATTACCCCTTAAAACCCTGTTTGCCACAGGATTTCAGAACTAAGGTTTTATTGCTTTACAGGACAGTGGTAATGAGGAATTATTTTTCTTACTGAATAGATTTTTATTTCTAGGAAAATAGTCAACAATTTTGGTATCTAATGACAAATATATGAGACACATATACGAGGGGGTTGTGCAATATGTCTTTGAACTGTTCCAGGATGCGTGGAGTTAAAGACAGTGCAGTACTGTACATCACTTAGAATGTTAATTTTCCACTAAGGATTTCACCCTGACCTTTATTTTAGCTGTCATAGTACTGTCCCTTTGAGTGGCCAACTGCACTATCATAATGAACTATTTTAATGTGCATTTTCCTTTCTATTTTGTGAAAGGTTATGTCTCCCAAATATACCTTCCAGAACATTCATGATGTTGGAGAAAGACGAAATCCTGCAACACTTACCACCAAACACATCTCCGTTCTGATAGTTTTTCCCCTTCTGAGTTTCCTCTTCGTTTTGAACAGTAGAAACATGCTTGGCGGAGGCACAGCCCATAGCTTCATTCAGACAGCTCCAGCTGGACCGAACTACAAATCATGTCTAGAGACGCACGCTCATTGTTTTAAAAATAATCCACCTTCCCACGTGGCTGTCAAGTCACTTTTACCTAAAGACAGCAAAAGAGAGAAAAGTATTTAACTACATGTATTGACAAAAGGTAACCTCTAAATATAGAGCTTCAAGAAAACAAATAATGGGGTTTGTGAAGAGGAATACAAGAGCACAGGCTATCTCAGTCACCTTAGGTGTTTAAAACCATATTCAATAAGCATCTGATATAGGTAGAGTATGACATAGGTAGATCAATCCCGCCTTGGGACAGGAGCAGAGTAGTTGAACTCCAAGTCTCTTCCAGCCCTGCGCTTTCATCTGTGGCTTGAAGAAAGCAACACGCTCACAGATGTTTCCCACCCACCCAGCTATTCCCACAGAACACATTTTTATTTTTTTGTTGAAAGAAGATAAGAAACTGGCAATATCTGCTCCCTCTGTTCCTTTTACCAATCTACCCATCAAGCCAGATCTCTTACAAAGTGTTTTAGTGATTAAGAGCTGCTAATTGCAAATGTTCAGACAAAATACCCCCTTCTAAATCAATTAAAGATCTTATGTTAATAGATGTGAAAGAGTATAGCCAGCTGTATTATCTTTTTTTCTGTGTTCATTACTTTACTGGATCCATTAAACCTCCACTGCTCCAAAAGGCAACTATTCCCATCTTAAGATGGAAAAATATTCCCCAAACAATCCAGATGTCACATAAAACAAAAGGGGGAAGAAAAAGCTAATTTATAGCTGCAATATTTTATATTTAAAAAAAAAAAAAAAAGCAAAAAAAAAAAAGCCAAACCCACAACAATTTAAAAACATTAACTGTTTAATGACTAAATGGCTCCACACTCCAACAAAATCAACTTCAAAGAGGGGTGAACAACCTAGCTTACCTTTCCACCAGTCAAACCTTGTGGAAGAGAAGAGCTAGAGGAAAACAAGAACCACCCTTTTTACCAAGTTGTTTAGTTTAGCTATAGCCTAAGACCATACACACAGTTTCTTAACTCACTATTTCTGGGTATTTACTTAAAAGGATGTGGCTCATTTTATTCCATGCCAACAAGAATTTTATCTACAATATCAGACAGGGGCTCTTACCTAGGATATAGCAGTATCTATCCCTCCAGAAATGTATAACCCCAAAGAAAATTTTTTTGAGTTTTATTTCCCCATGTGCCCAGCATGAACAGCACTCCTGCCTGTGCCAAGGCAGCACCGTGCCACATCACGACGTGGTCTAGTAGGGCTCTGCGGCCGCCCTGGGAGGGATTTCCCTGCCCATCCTCAAAGTCACAGAAACAAGGATGTGGCCAGCTGGGCCAAGAGCAATTCTGCTTCTGCTACTGCAGCCAGCAGCTTCCCTGATGAGCGGCTTCTCCCATGCAAGGGGAAGGACCCTGGAGGCACATCCACCTCCCCCGGCTATTCACAGACCAGCTTCTGCCTTCCACCTTGCTCTGCACAGAGAAGTGTTTTTTTCCACTTAACGAGGGTCTCTCACTAAAAATGTATAACTTATATAGGCTCAATCCCTGTTCTAATCAGCTAATCCTCCCAGTCACACCTGTATGTGCATTTTTCTTTATCTTCAGTATATTCCCCAACATGCTTTCTCCTTTTTCCCTTCCTCCTATACGTGCACACTTGAACATAAATTTATTACCTCATCCTTCTCCTTACCCACAGCTAGCTACTCACCCGAAGATGCACAATTTTAAACCAGGCATTCCTGCTGTTCATGGAAGGGGACGAGCAGATCCCCTTCAAGCTATTTTTTTAACCCTATATGGTTACATACATTTTTATTATTTTTTTATAAGAAAACCTAGGTTTTGCAGTAGAAGTCAGTATTAAGCAAGGGAAGCTTTCTGCTTCCTCAAGCAATCACTGGAGCTATTCTTCACACCGTTTTAATACATCTGCTTGTCAGATGTATAGACAAAGCTATAGCCCTCCTAAGAAACAAATTGCTCTCAAGATCCCTCTGTGCACATCCAAGAAGTCAATACCCCGAGCAGGCCATCCTAATTAACTGCCACGCGTTGTAAATGCCGATACTCATTTTATGTAAACTATATTAGTTCGTCTTATGTTTTTGCAACGCAGTGAGGGTCGCAGCTGACAATTTATCTTCAAGTGTTCCCAAAAAGCGTGACAGCCTGCATTAGGGTAACGGGTCTTCGTCTCACTGTCGGGGTGGGAAACGAGGATCCATAAGGATTTCAAGCATCAGCCACACTGTGCTTGCTCAGCAGGTAGGTCAAGACACACAGAGGTGTGGGAGATGGGGGGTGGAAATAGCAGACTGGGAAGGGTAACTGCTAACCGGATTGGAAATTAAGTCTGGACTGATTTTCTTGGAGGATGCAAATTTACTTAAAGACAGTAGCTTTTAATAGACCAGCTGAGACAAATGAGGGGGGTAAATACGATCAAGTCTTTTGCCACAGAGTCCCTGTTTCAAATTTCAGATAAAAGCAGGAGCCTCCAGGTAAGCAGAGACTGAAAACAGTAACTTTGATTTCTGATTTAAAATATAACCAGTTATATTACCCCAGGGAAAAGGATGTGGCCAGCTATGGGGCAAAGAACAAGGGGAGACCCGACGTAACCCCAGAAAAGACAAGGGGGTGTGTAGGCAGGACTGCTAACAGGCTGTATGTGGGGGAAATCACTGCACACTGTAAAGCCAGCGTCTCTGTCACAGAACAGCCCACCTGCACTCGCAGAATTACCTGTTGGATGAATAATGCTGTTGCCTTATTCAACTATTTTTCCTCTTTCTGTCTCTCAGCAGGGACCGTTTACAAAAGGGAAACAGCTGCTTCGTAATAAAAACCAAATGTATTTCATAACATAGCAGTGGGTTGGGTTTGGGGGAGGGGATTTTTTGCAAAGCCTTATACACAGACAACATGCAGCAAAACAAATTTCAAAATATTTAATTGTTGATTAGTACCCAGGAGGGTGATGGTCCTGTCACCCAGGACTGGCAAGCTGTAGAAGCAATCGGGAGCAAAGAGATGCAGACTGTGAATGCACAAGGATAAAGCTCTTTGGGGGAGGGAAGAAAAAAAATTATCCACAGTCAAATCTCTCCTGCAGCATCTTGGCAGCACACGCCAACCTCACTAAAAATATGGTCACGTTCAAAGGCACACTGTGATTAAAGGAAACAAATGGTAATAGAAGAACTGGAAGTTTTACCTTTTACATTAATGAACAGTAAATCACATCAGTGTCTGAAAAAACTACACAACTAATACTTGGATTATGGAGGCAATTTCTCCTGGTGCCCATAAATTGAGCTGAGAAAGTTACTCCAAAATGACCTCCAAGATAAGTCTAACACACATTTCTAGGCACATTTCTGGGACTGTTAACATAGTGCAGTGAGACAGACAACACTGCGACATGGATAGCTAACATAACCCAGAATTAGCAGAGGAGTTCAAACAAACAAACAAACAAAAAAAAGAGCGAGAGAAAAGCAGCATTAATTTTACACGAGATGAAATCTGAGACACACGACAGCATGATGCTCTCCAGCCTTACAGTGCTCCCAGCCTAGGGTAAACCTCTCTTGCCCGAGTACCGAAGCCCACAGTGACGAGGTTTGGGTATCGCTCGGAAATGAGGTGCTGGTCCTCATTCAGTGGGATGCCTGCAGAGGGTTTTGAGGATATGAAATGCAGTACTTCAAATGGCAGCAGAATAACGCATCCGTTCCGCCTCCTCCCCCACTTTTCCACAAATATAATTTTCCCTTTTGTCTTCCTGAGCATTTGGGGGGCATACATATTTTTAGAGGCCAAAAATAAAAAGAATAAGAAAACCTCAAACCATTTGCAGTTCATGTTCACCACCCACCATCATTAATTATCAAGATTTGAGAGGCAATTTACAAGCTCCAATCTGCAAAACGCTAGTGAGAAAAATCTCTCAGGCAGATCAAAAGTGTCTATACCATCCCCAAATTAAAGGCAGCAGATTTAAGTTTAACATCTTATGTGCAGGTCAAGAGGAGACTATAGACACTCTCAGATGCTGTACTTCATACCCGAAGTTTCTTCAGAGCTAAAACAAGGGGAGCTCAATTCTTAGAATAGAAATTGCTGTTGGAAACCTTAAGCAATTGCCTTTTTTTTTTCTGGGGGAGGGGGTGGGGGTGGGGGTGGGTGAGGAAAGGGGGCTTGAGGCATGTCTGTGTTGTGACTTTTCTTTTACCAGCTCTTTCAGCTCCTCATTAAACCACTCATCTCCTCACCTCTTATTTCTGATGGTCACGTCCAAGACTGCATCCTTGACAAAACACACTTTGACTCCACAACTGAAAACCAAAAACCTAACAGCAAATGGAGGACCTCTAGTGTTTTACATCAAATGTATGTTAATACTTCTATTACTACAGGTGTATTTGTCTTAATCTTTATTGCATCGAGATAACCAAACTTTCCATCTTCTTTAAGCTGCAGATGCATCTAAAAGTTTCCTTCTGTGTTGACCACACAGGAAATCAGGTTAAAATTTCACAAAGCCCAAGAGATCAAAGCAATGAGCTTCGTGCAACCATGGAAAAACCCTAAGCTACGAAGCAAAACCACACTGTTTTTTCCTATAATACAACCTAGTCCAGGCAGAACCCAAGGATTTAACTTACTGCTACTAGTTACACTTATTTCCTATAAGAAATAGTCCTGTTTAATTTTCATTTAATTTTTTTCTCCCTGAAAGAAGAAAGCAGCAATGGCTCCTGAATTTGCCCTCCATAAGGGTCACTGGAAGTTAGCACCTGAGAGCCCCCCTACTGTGATATCCCTCTCCCTCAGCTACCCTCCACCACCTCTGCCAGAAAAGATGGCATTTGAGGGGGGGTTTTTTGACTGCCAAAAGGCATTTTTTGAGCCAAAAAGACAGAACTTTTGCCTTTGAAGTGCACCAATGGCCTAAGGGGTGAGGAGAAAAAAAAAAAAAAAAAAAAAGGATTGGAAAAAAGTCATAAGCTCTACTTCTCCTTCTTCAAATTATTCAAACCAGCATTGATGGTGCATT